AAAGCTGTTTTCTTAGCTCTTAAAAATCATAGCTCATTATAGCCTGGAATACTATAAAAAGCTTCTTCCCCTTTAACTTTTTCTGCAGTTGGGAAAAAAGAATATATACACATAGTTAAAGAAAAAGGGAGGAGGTATAAAGTCACTTTAAACTTTGACTCTCATAGATTGTTTTTCAGGAAAGAAAACTTCAGCTTTAACAGATTTCCTCAATAAAAAAAAAAAAAAAAAAAAAAAAAAAAAAAAAAAAAAAAAAAAAAAAAAAAAAAAAAAAAAAAAAAAAAAAAAAAAAAAAAAAAAAAAAAAAAAAAAAAAAGCTAATGAAAAATCAGAGCCAGTTCTACACACATGTAACATCTTGCAGTACTAAACTTACCTAGTTTATATTTCTTGCATCCACAGTCACCTGGAAACATTAGAGAGGATCATTTAACACTTTTGACAAGGACAGATGTGCAACAAATTATTATGTATAAGCTGCTTCAGGGTCTTACCATATGGCACACATAAAGGAATTCAAGGAAAGAGGGAAAACGGCATCCCATTTAGCTTGGTTGAAAGCACACACAGGTACTTATTCCAAAAGACCTGGCACAGAGTCAGGTGCTATACCCTGTGCAAGACATTTTTTCCTATTGCATGAATCTCCACTACTGATGCTTTAAGGAAGGCCCAATGCTCCTCAGTGTTTCTGCTGGTCAGTTGAAGGATTACATAAAAGACTGTAGCTGACAGAATCTGCACAGAATACTGGTGAAGGACAAATAAATAAGAGTAGGTCAACCCTGCTCCAGAGATCTACATCATACATCACACTGAATTAATGGCAAAAACATGACTGTATACAGCCCAGCGCAACACACCATACGCATGAAACAAGAGTCATTTCATACTTACAAGGTAAGGAATTCTACTTGGAAATGGAGCAAATCAAAAAGAAATACTCCAAAGACATTGTGAACTCTCAAATGCGTACAGAAACCCAGCAAGCTGGAACTGGCTTCCTGGGCAAAAACATCTCATGGATATTTAATATGGCAAAACACAGCAGGAAAGAGAACTATTGCATCAATACGTAGCCTTAGTGAGATTCTTGATGATGTATTTACCAAGTTCTACTTCCCATTCAAAATGAGAAAAGTTAATGAACATCGATGATGCCTGAAAGCCCTGTCTCAAAAAGAAAAATAATGGCTTTGTTCTCAAAATTGTTCTTATGAGCCTAAGACCCAGAACAGAGAATTTCACAGAAGCTTGTAATTAGTAACACCTATGAAGACAAGAATGACACAAAAGTCATTAAATACTATTAACTAATCATATGGACTGCTATATTCTAAATTAATTACACAAAGACTATCTATTTGTCACTGTGGAGAGTTTAATAAGACTATCTGACCAACAGTGGAATGATGAACAAAAAGTGAGAAAAGATTGTATTGGATTAAATGACAGAATATCACACAGAAGTTCTAAGATGATTAAATAAATAATTGTGTATTTTCACCTACAATAGCCTTCAGTTCTGACCAACTTCTCTCTGTAGTAAAAACAGAGAGGGCTCAGAAAATGGAAAGAGCTCAGAGAGGGGCAAGAAAAATATTAAGTTTTGATGAAACTGAATGCTTCAAGATGCTTAAGACTTCCAAAAGGAAATCAGTCGGTAAAGAGGAAAAGGCAGCAACTGTATAAAATTTGCACAGAGATGTTCAGCAAGGTCTTCTTCTCAGCCTTTGGCAAAATACTAGGGATGCATCATAGTGACCAAAGTTTCACGAAAAACAGTTTTCAGTTCAACTATATTAAATGGCAACAAAATCAAAGTTCATAATAGTGAGCATTTTTAATAGTCCTTACATAGCTCATGAATGCATGGCCCGTTCTTTGGCCCAAACTTTGCATGACTGGCTAGAGAGTTGGGTTTTCACATAAAAGTATATCACATACAAATCACATAAAAATATATAAAAATTTCAAGAACAGAAATCATTTATCCACGTTTGCTATGTTGGAAACTCTCTATTCCTAAAAGTTCAGGCAGAGTTTTAATGACCACTCTAGTAATGCTTTCCCAAAGCACCTTTCAAAGAACCCGACCAGTTGCCCATTGAAGACAAAGGACTGACTTGAAACAATCTACAAATCCTTAAATAGCTGTTAAATGCCACTATCCAGAACAAAAAAAGAGCCTCTTAATCACTCATAGCTCCAAAACCAGGAACTGCACACATCACAGGACACATTAACTCTGTTTTCTCACCCCGATTTTCCCCACGACGCTAAGACTGTCAATAAAAACCGCCTAGCAGAACAAGACCATGAGCTACTTAACTGTCCAAACCAAAACGAATGGGGAATTCGAAGGTGTCAAGCTCTGGAAACGTCTCACATGCAATAATCTATACAACACTAGCATTACCAGGTTTAGCACTGCCCAAGTGCCCAAGGCGGTGGACAAAAGCCTTAAAATCAACATATGGTAACGCCTCAACATCTTTTTTTCTCCAGACACGCCACTTTTTTCAGCGCCAGCTTAGTTTTGTCAGGGTGTGATGAAACAACTATTGTTCCTATCTGCTGGTGATAGCCAAACTCGCCAGGACACCTTTAAGAATGATACATGATTTTATATGATTTTTAGCGCGCCCCACGCCCTGCTGCTTGTCCTCCTAGCACCGAGTGGGGATGAGCCCAAGGATGGCCCGGTGAGGCCAGCCCGGCTCCCTCACACCTGTGCCATGGGCACATCCTCGCCAGCGAGCAGGAACCGCCCGAATTCCCGCTCCCTCCAGCCACGGGGACTGGACAGCCACCTCAGTGGGTCCCACCACCCTCCTGCCCGTGGCACTGAGCGCCATGGTGAGACCGTCCACCTGCTCCCCGTGCCATCACCAGGGCGCTGGGCGCCGCCGTGAAACCGTCCCCCCCGCACCTCTGTGGCATCACCACCACCGGCGAAGGTGAGGCGGCACCGCCGCACCCACGCGGGAGCCCCGTGCAGAGAGGACGGGACCACCGCTGGCGATGGCACGCCGGCGAAGATACCCCAAGCCGGGAGCGTGGCGGAAGGGCGGCCGGGGCGCCCCCCGGCCCGGTGGCCTCGATGGCGCGGCACCATGTGCCGGGGGCATGGCGGGGCGGCCGGGCGGGGGGCGGCGGGGCCGGTGCGGGTGGCGGGGGCGGGGAGGTGGAGCCTGGCTGCGGGACCGCCGCTTCCCTCCCCCGTGGGGCGCTCACCTGGCGGGGCCGCCCCTCGCCAGGGGGCCGGTTCCACGCGGGGCGCGGGGCTCGTTCGCCCGCCCTCCCCGGGCCGCGCGTCCGCCGCCCGCCGGCTCAGGCCCCAGCAGCAGCCGCCGCCTCCCCCTCCATGGCCGCCGCTCTCGCCGGCTGCATTGTGGGAAGCTGACCTCACTCGCTGCTGCCGCCGCCCCGCCGGCTCCGGCACTCTCCGCCATGGGGGCCGTGACCGACGGTGAGACCTCCCTCCCTCTCTCCCTCTCTCTCTCCGTCCTCCCTCCTTCCTCCCGCCCCGCGGCCGCGACCCCCGCCCGGGCTCCTTCTCCCCTCCGCCCCCCGAGGAGCAGCCGCCCGCGGGCCCCGATCCCGGCCCGGGCCGCTCACCCCGCACACGGGCCTCCATCCCGGCCCCGCTCCCTGCATCCCGCAGCGCCCCGGGCTCAGCAGATCCGCCCGCTCTGGCCCCGGGAATCGTTCCCTGAAGGGCTGGAGGAGCCCCGCGCGCGGCGCTGGGATGCGGCTGCCATGCCGCGAGAGGATCTAACAGGAGTTCTTTCCACAGATGAAGTTATCCGCAAGCGGCTGCTGATCGATGGCGATGGAGCTGGCGACGACAGGAGGATCAATTTGTTGGTGAAGAGTTTCATTAAGTGGTGTAATTCCGGATCTCAAGAGGAAGGGTATTTGTTTTCTGTTGTTTTGGTTTGGTTTTTTAAGTCTTGGAACTGCTTGGCTTGCATTGCATTGGAAAACAGGGCTCGATCCATTTTGAAAGGACCCCTGTTGAAATGTGTGCGCCTGCTTTTGCTGTGGCTCTGCGGTGTTTCCAGGACAAAAGCCGAGCACTGTGCTGGGAGATGAGGGCTAGAGACGGGTCAGAAATCACTGAAGGCTGCGGGCTGTATCATGAAATCTGCCAGCACCGCTCGAATGCCCTCAGGATTCCCTTGCCGCGGTGTGATCCTTCCGGGAGTCCCGCTGTTATAACAGGATCATGACTCGAATATTTTAGTTGGCAGCCCTGCGTTTGTTCTGTAAGGGAAGAGTAATACTGCTGGTATTTCTGCTGCTGTGGTTCTCTTTAAAAAAGAAAACAAAAAACCAAAAACAAACAAACAACAAAACAAAACCCAAACAAGCCAAAGTAATAAGGAACAAGTGACAACATGCTGTGGGGTCCCTATTAGTACTGGATATGAATTCCCAGAGGACACAATATTATGTTTGTGTGTACAGAGAAGCACTGCAGTATTAAAATACTAATTTCAGAGGTCACAGAGCCAACCCTAGCTGGGAAATTTATAAGCCCTAGATCAAACTGCTCATTACCTTAATACTCACTTTACACCGATAAGGACATGATGGTGGAATTAATGGGAACAATGTTTCTAACTGCACTTTCAAGAAGTTATACACTGAAACTTGAAAGTATTTCCTTGATTGAATAATTGTTATTTCGCTGTTACTTATGCTACATGAAGTTTTGTTTTCTTGTTCTGTAGAGTATTTTTACACTCATGGGAGTAAATATCTTGTCTGTTTCAGTTATAGCCAGTACCAACGAATGCTGAGTACTTTGTCACAATGTGAATTTTCAATGGGAAAAACTCTTCTGGTGTATGACATGAACCTGAGAGAAATGGAAAATTATGAAAAAATCTATAAGGATATCGGTAAATATGAAAAATTTCACTGTTTCTGTCTGACGGCAAACAAAATATATATATCTGATGAGTGATTTGGAAGGGGGTTTTTTGGGTTTTTTATGTTGTTTTTTTTTTTTACTAGATGGCAATCATACATGTGCTGTGAGCATCTTATCAATATATAAAAGACATATAAAACAAGAGCTTTTTTTACCTATTACAATGTATGTAGTTTTGAAGCTGATGGAGTTAACAGGCCAGTGTGTCACAAACAGCTCTTTATCTTTTATAGTTTAGCAGAATGGCTTATTTACATGTATTTTTTCAGCTCAGTATAACTCTCTATACTTTTTTTTTTAAAAAGAAAACAGTATAGCTGCAGCCCATGAGAAGATTTCTGAATGCAAAAAACAAATCCTGCAAGCAAAAAGGATTCGAAAAAATCGCCAGGGTAAGGAGCAATGTCTGTATTTAGGCTGGTGGGCTTCATTATTTTGCTATCTTTTAAAATACATCGTATTGGAAAATAGATTCAAAATTTTTAAAAGTGGGAGGGATATGGATACTATATTTAAGCTGGTGGGTTCCACACCCTCTGCTGCAAGGTTTTGGTGGATGAGGTAGTCAGGGTTGAACCAGGCAATCAATGTCATGCCACATCAGGAAAACCTAAAAGAAAAGTTCAGAGAGATGTTTTCAGGCCAAAGAAAAATCCCAGAAGCATCCTATCACAATTCAGGTGATTTGAGAAAAACTAAAGCACATTAACGATAGTGAGACAAGAGTTGAATGGAGTTACACCCTGCACTGAGGTGTGTTCCTTCAGCTGCTAAGGGAAGGTGTTGTCTTGGCGTACACCGAGACAGCGGTTCCAGGTACTCACCAGCAACTCTGTGTGTGTCCTTACTGAATACAGTTACAAGAAGTGTATTTTTTCCCTGCTCTTAAAAGTGTATGCTGATAATTTAAGGTTAGTCTTGAAGCTTTTGAAAAGATTAGCAATTGTGAAGAAGCAAAAAGTTGCTTTTCTGATAAATGAAATGCAAGAAGTTCAGAAGTATCACATGGAGGGTTTTAAATACAACGGTTAGATCAATTTTGTTGATAATTTTAGACTCAACTGAAAATTAAAATAACCTTAACTAGTAGGAATGTAGAGTCCTTACATCTTCACAAACATAGGTCTGAAGTGGTTGCTTTTTGATTTGTTCTGTCCAGTCTGCAGCACAGATTTTTTCCATGTGAATGAGGTAGTTGGCATATATATAGTCTTACTATTAGGAAATGGCTGTGTTAGTTGCCTAAATAACTATAATATCATTCTTAAGTTAAATGTAATAATTTAAAAAAAAATCCTAAAAATTTTAAAAATCCATGCAGCATTTTTTACTTTTTTCTTAAAATCTTAAATGTTCCTGTGTAACATCAGCACCATTTGCTGTACATGTACATTGGATTGTATCTAAACCCAATGCTTATGAATCGTACACAAAAGACCAAGTGTGCAGCAATGCAGAGGTTGAGTTTTCTGGCCTCATCCTTTTTGAATCACTAGCACTGGGTAAGTTTGAGTGAGTAGACAATGGTCTATAATTATATCTGTAGGTTATTTAAAATCTCCTTTGGTGTAATCTTCTATTTTGAAATATACGTTTATATATATATATATTTTTGCAGGTACTTTTTTGTAGATGTAAGGTGTTATGTACATATTTGAGAAATGTTAAAACAGTTATTCAAGAAGGAAAAAGAACCTGCCATTCTGTGGTACCTGAGTTTGCATTCTTGAATCAGTATTTTCAGATTTATTTCAATTAACTATTTAAAATGTCTTTCAGAATATGATGCATTGGCCAAAGTCATACAGCACCACCCAGACAGACATGAAACGCTGAAGTAAGTATAAAACTATATTAAATTACAATAACCCAGTAAGTTAAGAACAGCAGATTTGACATTACCTTGGTTTCAGTTTGACCTTTCCTCACTTTTATATAATTTCTTTTGACACAGAAAGAACTTGTGTTTTGGTGCCCTTATCAGCTCTCTTTAATTAATGTCCATCTCTCCCCATCACAAGCATTGCTAATAGTTTTGTAGTTGAGACCTTTCCATTGTTAAGGTGAATGAGTGAACTTAGATGTAAGTGCACATCTGATGTCATTTACCAGGCATGAGCTTCTCAGAAAAGAGGGATAGTGGGAAGTGCTGGAACATGCACCAGCAAGGAATTCAGTGGCCACTCAAAATCCCTAACACACAAGCAAGTAAGGTGGAATGAGAGAAAGCAGGAGAAAGCTCCTAGGATTTTTGGGTTTAATGTTTTCCTTGTAGTAGTTGTTCCTGCATGCCCAGTTATAAATTGCTGTGCTGTACCTCAGCATAACCTGCCCTGGCATGCAGGTTGGACCTACCTGTTGTCCAACTCGCCTTGCACGTAACTTACAGTGCTGCGTGTCACATTCTGTGTTTGGATCACTATCTGTGCTTTTGGGGCAGTTGTAGGGAGATAATCTTTGTAACTTTATCGAGCCACAGAAACATTCCAGAACCTACTGCATCTATGAGTTTGCTCTTCTTCAGTTCATTACAGGTGTAGCATGGGGTTACTGTTCCCATTTAAGTGCAGCTTGTGCCTGTCCTATTGCCCACTTTCAGTGAAATTGCCAAGGGAGGCTGTCTTTTCACTTTCTGTGTCCTTTCATAGCAAAAGGAAGAGTTTTGATTATACTATTACCCCAATAATAGCATTTTTATAGCTATAAGACATTGACAATATTTTGCATGTTTCTTTCCTGTATATTGTTTTTCTGTGCCTTGATTTCATTACTACAACTTCAATTATTACAGGCAATCCTCATGATGCTTGACTACTTCTTACTTCATTAGTCATCATGTGACTAATTTATCAAGTGAGGCTTTCATAAAGAAGTATCAAAAGTGAAGTTTTTCCGATAAGTCAATTAAGAATGGAAGCAAATAAATGAGAGAAGTTGTGGATGCCCCATCCCTAGAAGTGTTCACAGCCAGGTTGTATGGGGCTCTGAGCAACCTGGTTTAGTGAAAAGGGTCCCTGCCCACAGCAGGGGTGTTGGAACGAGATGATCTTTAAAGTCCCTTCCAACACACACCATTCTACAACTCTATGATAAATGATACTTTTTGATCTTGGAAGATGCCAGGTTGTTTAATTTTGCTTAACACATGCAAGCATAAGCTTCTTAAGCTAAGCTTGAAATGGTGGTAGGTTACAGCTAGGAAGAATGCAGGACATAGGGAAGTATACAGAAAATCATACAATGAACCAAAGGCCACTCTTAAATCAGAACAGAGGAAGCCTCACTATCAATGTCACATTTTTCATGGAACTCTCAATCACTAAAAACACTTGAGGAAATGTCTTGTGAGGAGAAGCATCATGGTTTATGTCAAGAGCTACATTTATAGCTTTTGCAGGTTATATGGCACAATAGGGCAAAGTTCAGAAAAATACTTTCTTTATGCTTTTAAGTGACTGTTTCTTGGAATAACTAGTCATACAGCACAAAAAAAGCTGTTAGCAGCTTAGTCACAAGTAATGCACAGGAGCCACTTCAGGAAGTGACAGGAGCTAACTACTAAATGACAGTGCCCACAGTGTAATTAGATGCAGTATTAGAAGGGCTGTTCAGAAGGCCAAGAAATTACACTGAGTCTTATAAAAGGAGATACAAAAACGAGAAGGCTAGGCAAAAATTCTCTGGAGAAAAGGAGTAAAATTCTAGATGTAGCTTGGATGTTACTAGAAAAAAAAAAAATTGCATGCCCTCTCACAGTCTGCTCACGCCTGACAGCACAGTATAAACAGAGAGATTTGGCCACATGGAAATCCTGCAGAAACTAGAAACCAAATACTGACAAAATCATGGTATGAGACTGGTTCTATGAATCTGCTTCTTTAACTTCCATTGTATGGTCAAGTAAATAGTACGTTATAGCAGGACAAGGTTGTTACAGTCCAAATGCCCAGTGTACAACTGTATTCCAGCTTGGAGGCCTGTTTTTTTGTAAGAATCCTGAAATTACAAGTTTAGAACATAAATTAACGTTTACATGAAGTGGCCTTACCTCTACATTGTTTCACTTGCTATGTTTTTTTTATATATGCTGTCTATTTAATTGTTCTCTTTCCTCTACTTAGTTCAAATCTGTTTTGCAAGAATTTTACAGAATTTTTTAAAAACACTATGGCAATTTCCTTACAGGCAGCTGGAAGCTTTGGGAAAAGAATTGCAAAATCTTTCTCACATTAAAGAAAATGTTGAAGATAAGGTAGGTCTTTCACAGAAATTGTTATGTAATAATTCATTAGGAACACAATGGAGAATCTGCTGTTGGTTGTTTGGCTCTCTGTTTCCTACAATACGTATTTTATCGTTCCAGTTGGAGCTGAGAAGAAAGCAGTTCCATGTTCTCCTGAGCACTATCCATGAACTTCAGCAAACCCTGGAGAGTAAGTGTTGTTCTTAGGTAATAGATATAACTGGGTTGGGTTTCAGTGGATCAAAAGGATTCACAGCTTCCAGCAGCAGGATAGCTCCATGCAATTGAGGTTGGTGACCTCTTGCATCGGCAGCATTTTTTTCCCCAGTAGTAGTCCAGAGCCTGAGACTGCTCAGAATTCTTTTTCTTCTACAAGCTACCCACTGTGTCATTTCCTGACTAGCTTTAGGTTAATCTGTAGGCAGCAGAATTCTTTAAAATGTGGGGATGGAGATTAGCAATTTCAGGTGAGTTAGTTTGTTTGTTTTTTTTTTTTAAACAGAGAAAATATTTCTTACAGAAAATTATTCTTGTACTTATTCCAGACATATTTGTATAATTCCTATTTTGATAGTTTTGAAAATATCACTGCCATCGTGGTATCATTTCAGGCTTTACTAAAAATAAATTGAAATACAGGAAAGGTAAATGATTGACCTACTCACACAGTGAGTTTGTGATAGAGTAGGGACTAAAGCTGTCATACACAAGAGCTAAATTCAGGAATTAGTCATTTTTGTCATACAAATGATTAATATTTTCAAATCACCACTAACTTTTCGTGCTCTAATATGGAAATACTGTTTTAAATATTATTTGCTGGATATTTGCCGTGTCTTTCAAAGACACAACAATTGGTACAGCCTTTGAGCATGACCTGATTAAATGCATAGATGGCTGTAAGAGCAGACTTTCATTCTCTAAGGCCATTTAGATCTTCTTAAGCAGAATGAACTGTTAATCCTAGGTGAACTTTAGCAGAAGGTTATTGTTATTTTTTTTGTTTGTTTGAACATAGCACTTTAAAAAATGAGATACTCAGCTACACATTCAAGGCAATCAAAATAAAATATTTAAGTGGGACACAGCTCTGCAGTATGAACAAACCATGTTTGACTTACAATAATATTGAATTTTAGATGATGAAAAACTTTCAGAAGCTGAAGAATCCCAAGAAACTCAAATGGAAGCAGAGGCCAAACAGTAGATGTAATATGAAGACTGACAATACTACTGAAGAAAGTCCAAGTATCTTCATGTTATGTTGAAACCAACAGTAAAGGAGGTGGAGTTGAAAATAATTTTCTAGTGCTTCTGTGAATTTTTATACAAAAATACTTGTTTTGCTTATGCTTCAGGGGAAAACAGTTGCAGATCTGTGCAGACAGGCACTTTGTGTTAATCCACAACTTTGTAATTTGGGAAATTTTGGTTTACAAAGGATGAAGCTTCTACACAGTGCTTGTGAACTAAGGTGTTTGCAAAACATTGTCAATAAAAGGTGTTTTCACAGATTTTCCTATCTTTAGTAGGCATTGAGCTTAATAATAAGGGCTGCTTTTCTTACTTGACATCAGACTGAGGGCAGTGCATCTTTGCATGAGTCCCAGCTTCTGTATCAGTCTAGATGGGACCTAAATCTGAACTAAGCAGGGTCTTAGCTATCATTTTAGAACTTACTAGTTTCATATGAAACGAATTACTTCTCTAGAATCAATGCTTGTTAAGGGTTATAAAACAACAAAAATTGTCTGTGCTAGCTTTAATTTTTTTCCTCAAAGTGATGCAAAGATCTGCAGTGATCCAAACCTTGCTCTGCTTTGTTTGTTGTACCACATCAGAAGTCACATTTTGAAATGGCACTTTTAAAACTGTGATTTAAAAGCTTTGTTCTTGAAGAACCAGAAATCTAATCCTGATACCATTTATAATCTGCTTCTGGATTTCACTTGTCAATTGACTATTATGAAATACATCATAATTTCTGAAACAGATGGTGGAACCCTTCCTGCCTCACAAAAAAAACTGAAGCAGCAGAGCAGTAACTATGATGTTAAAGAATCAGAGATACTTGTGTTATTAATAGGGATGGTGGAATCTATCCACCTTGATCATCCTGCAGTCTGTTGAGAGGTAGGAAATACAGGTTTCAACCTTCCCAATAAGAGAAGAGAATGGAGTATGCTCTGTGCTTTTGTAAGGCAGAGGGGAAGGAAGAAGGGGCAGTAGGTGATGTCACTACCTGTTAGCCTTGTTCTAAAAGCACCTGTTACATTGAGCCTTCCAGTAGTTTGGGTAAAGGAAAACGTTTTGGGTCTCACTCAGACAGAGCCATAAGCATACATGGTTCAAGTAAAATAATGACGTTATACAGAATAGTGCTGCCTTCTCACTAGGTGACAGCTGAGGGGGATTTCCAGGATTGAGACTCAAGACTTTTATAGTCCAAATGCCATATAATTCCCACTCTCAGTGGCTGTGGATCTGTGTGCATTGGGCTGAACAGACATATCTGAGCTTGTTTTGCTCACATTCCAAATTTGCTAACGGCAAGCCAGCTGAACAAGAAGTCACACAACTTCAGTAGCACAGTGCAGCCCTGAACTAATAAGCTGTCAAAAGTCTTCTAGTTCACAGCTGGTCAACTCAGAACACAGGGGAAGCTCAGGTTTGCCTGATAGAGCCTGTGCAGACATGCAGTGCGTCTCATGCACTACAGATTTGGCAGGCTGGGGTGGTGGTTAAGCAAACAAAAAAAGATTTAATATGAAAAATACACCATCAAAAAGTATTTAGGGTACTGTGTTTTTCCCCTCCTAACAACAGTGAATAGTAAATATTTTGTAAAGCAGCAATACTAAATTCTAAATTATTGCCAAATCAGGGAGGAGTCACTGTCAGTAACATATAAATTATGAAGATCATAAATGGCTCAAAACACTTTTAAAGCATATTAACCTTTTTTTGTGTTTGAAATGCCCTTCATAAGCTACCTGGACTAAATTTTGGTGCAGAGATGGGTGACATTTAACACCTAAAAACACCTAAAAACTCCATAGCAGTGTCATCATGAAAATCTCAAATTTTTCCATTAATTGTTTTACACATTTCTTTGGAAATTACTTGCATCACAAAAGTATCTCATCTCAGAACTTGCACTGCTCTGTATCAAACCTGACCACAAACGTGCCAACATCCAAGTCTGTCCCTCTGGTAAGGAAGACATAAGCAAAACCAAAAGTTGCACACAAGAGAGGCAATACAAATGCATAGCAGAGGAATATATTCTAGTTTGAATTACAGTGATGCAATCTTGAAAAGAAATTACTGCCCTAGAAATTCAAGTTGCCCTAGTGCAATGTGGCAGCAAGAGGGTGATGTCACCAGGCCACCTTGGAGAGCAATCAAAGAAAAAAGCAAACATCAGTTCATTGCAAATGCGGGCTCAGTGGGACATCCAAAATATTTGCTCCTAATATTTTCATTATTTATGTATCTAACCTCTTAGATTTGTACCAAAAAAAAGAAACAAAGCCAAATGGAATTCTGGTTATCAACAATATTTAACCTGCTTTGTTCCTAAGCCTCAGGTTACAGCTTCAAATCTGCCCTGCATATGTTGGAAATGTTTATCTGCATTTCCTTTAATCATCTGTTCCAGAAGTTTTCTGTGATGCTGCTTACCTGCATTGACTCTAAATATGCGTGTATAAAAATCGAGGTGCATGAACTCAGAATGTCCATAATGACACTATTTAAACAAGAAATCATTCCTGGTTTTATGATTTGCCTTGTCCCTATCTGAGCTGAAGAATTATTATATGACTAAATGCTCCATCTCTTGCCACGTGGGTGCAAAAATACAAGCAGAAAGAGAGTTGCTGAAATGATAAACTGACATTTGCAATGCCAGGACTTATTTTTCTGTCCTGTCTAAATGAGAGCAGCAGAGGGAGAATGGAACATTGGACAGAATTAGTAACTTGGGTGTAATTTTTAAAGATAGATTTAGCAAACTCCATGTAAGGAGGGAAGAAGGAGAAAGAAGGTCACAGTGACACATTGCCAAGTGATGGGCTATCTCTGAAACCATGTTAATTTGAAGAAAGCTGCTGTCAGGACAGAAAATTGCAAAAAATATATCCCAAAGATTTATGAGCTAGAAATTATAAGTTATTTTAGATACTTGTACGTTTTCCAGCTATCACAGCTGGTTTGTACCGTTCTTTCCCTCCCTCCTTTACTCAAGTCTCAGGTGAGTCTCCTTTTTTTTGTGAGTTTAAAAAAGGCTGTTTCTGTCCCTGTGTACTGGGCAGTGCCACAGCAGCCAGGAGGCAAAGCCGGGCTTGGAGCAGCTTGCCCTGGTGCCCACCCTGGCCTGGCCTGATTCACCTGCCTGCTGGCAGCAGGAAAGAATCCAGCAGGAGCTGCCTGGCAGGGCTATGTGAGGCTGCTCAGTGACTGCTGAAGGCATTTGGGGAACAGGACATCCCAAAGGAACTAAGCATCCTCATGCCAAGGAGCTTCCCAGGTATTCAAGAGTGATCCTAAAGCCAGAGGTGTAGCATGTGGTCTGTCCAAGACAGCAGAGTCCAGAAGGGAAGGACGAGGGGCCTTAGACCCCTATGCCAGGTGAAATGATGGGGGACTTTTTTATGGAAGAAGGAACTGAAGGCCTGTCCGGGCCAGAGGCAGAGCACTGGTTGTATTGGGCAGCTGCTGGTGTTGCTGTCTGAATGGCAGGAGACGGTGTTAACTGAGGGACCCACGAGGGAGGAACTTGGGAACAAACTCTTTTTTCTACATTTGTTACGTCTGTATTTGAGTAGTTTTTGTGCGGGGGCCACACGTTTGGATGGCACAAACCACAGGAGCTCCTGGGAGCTGCCAGACACCACCCATGGGATGGTCTAAGCAGGTTTAGTAACTGCCCTAAAACTGTTCCCTACTGTGGTCCATCTTGGATTCGTACCGGAGCGCGGCAGGGCAGGGTGAGCTGGGGAGTACTTGTGTAACACCCCACGGGCACAAAACGAATTCCAAATGCCCTAATGGTGCGAAACCCCCCGGAGAACCCCCGGCTCCCGCTGTTCATCTCGGGTCCCGTCTCCCGCCCGCGGATCCCGCTCCCGACGGAGCCGCGAGGGGGCGGCAGAGGCCGGGCTGGCCGGGGATCGCGGATCCCACCGAGCGCATTCCCGGCCTCGCCAGCCCTTTCCACAGCTTTGCTTTTCCTTTTAGTTCCCGTTTCCCGCGCGCGGACAGTCCCACCGGTGTAAGACTTGTTTCAGGATCTTTCAGTACTGGGATGCTCAGAATTTGCAGCATCGCAGGGAGAAAGTTGGCGAAAGTTTGCTGAAAGTGTTACACTGCGTGAGAATTCCTAAAATAGTCAACGGCCCAGACACGTGCTTTTAAATGGCTCTCACATTAAGGGAAAAATAAAGGGGAAACTAACAACCTTTGTTATGCTTTGCCAGTTTGCTTGCAAGGAAAAAGTCACCACCCAGAGAATTTAAAATTATGGTTTGTCTCCAAGAGGAGAAACATTGGGCTCTTCTCAACACAAAGCAAAAGTACATGCTGGAAATAACAGGGTGTGCTGCATGTAACAAATAAGCCCCACTAGCAGCCCATTTGGAATGAAAAACAACATATAATTTATGATCTGGCAGGGCAAGTTGACTGTAGCGACCTTCCCAATGACTCTTCAATAAAGCATTACTACACTCAAATCTCCTTATATGAACCTAAGTGAAATTCACCTTTACACTGAACTTGCTGCACCAAAATCTCCATGCATTAGCTCCTATTCCAAACTATATATTTTCCCTAAAGCATTGTATTGTCGCGAAAAAGGTCTCAAACCACACTAAGCTTCAAAGCTGAAACCAAAAGCCCCTGGTTGATTACTAAGCATAAGAGACAAGTTTAGACACAACACATGGAAACAACCACCACTGTCCAGTGAAGCTTCTCCCATTTGCATTCAGGAAACACTTAAAACCTAGTGGAAATTCACAGGTGGAGATGTTCTGACTTATTTAACAGGAAACATGAAAAAAAAAAAAAGTCTTGGTTTCTTTCTTAGTGCCTGTTAACGTCAGTATTTTCTGAGTCATTCTGCATGAATTGGCAGAAGGCGTTCGGGATCAATTCTCTTTTGCTCTGTTATTCTGACTGCTGGAAATGGGAAGGGCCGTGGGTCCACCCCCCCTGCCATCCATGTCATTAGTGGCCCCAGTACCCAGCAAAGCACAAAACTACAAGTGGGACTATCTCTTGTACTGGGAGCATCCACTACCTGCCTACACATCCATGAGTGCCCCAGTGCCAGGAGGCAGGTTACGCTGGAGCTTTTCCCTGGGTCCTTTTGCTTGTGCACACAGGGCAGAGGGTGGCAGTGAGGGGGCACAGGAGCTGGGCTGGCCACATGGGCAGAGCTCTCCAGGACCTGCCTGGGCATAAAGGCAGTGCTGAAGAGCTGGGGGAGCAGAGTGGCATATTTGGGGTGTGTTTGGG